CGTTCTAATTGGATTTCCCCCCTTAACACGCGAGCCGGCTCCAGCTGAAATAAATGCGACTAGCCTCTCGCAATTATTTTGTTCTTAAACTCCATTTGATTTTCCGACGTAACTCGAGGAAAATCGCCGTAATCGACGCGTCGCCACTGACCGTCCGTGCGTAGATCGATATTTAATTAAAAGGGGATTGCCCGGGGAAAAAAAAAAGGAAACATCCGTAAGTAGAAGGAAGAAAAATGTGGAAAAGATTGGAAAAACCTGCTGGACGCGGACTAAAAATGCATCCGGCTAAAAATTTCTCCGAGAAAATGCGCGCCGAGCAATTCTGTATCTCAGCTATTAAAGAAATCTATATATTTCCAATAAAACCTATGTTAGAGACACTTTTGAAATGTTGCGCCTCGAAACGCACTTGACTCGACTATCAATTTCACATTTAAACTTTTGCAGTCGAATAGTTAGGTAAAAAAGTACCATTCCTGGAACTAGTCCTGGACATTCTTATTATTTGAGAGTCTTTAATACGAATATGTTTAAGCTTTCAACATGGAATGTATGCATACACTCAATACTTGTATACAGAGTGTCCCAGAACAATCTTCGAAGCTCTTGTGCGAAAGTATAGGTATAGTGCAGATTGAGGTAAACATCCGTTCTGTGATATTTGTAATAATTATCGAGATATTAATTAAAGAAGATTTGTGAATAATCACGGGAGGTATGACAGTGACGAGATCTACCATCGTGTGCTTGTACATTAAGTCAAACTGAACAAAAGAACCTTTTTTTCTAATAACTTTGTAGATTTGTAGTTATTGATTAGATAACATTAATATATTATTGCGAGCAATCATCCGCTAATCTTCTTTAATTAATAATTAAGAATCTACAAAGTTATTAGAGAGAAGGGGGAAAAGAGGATTTTTTTGTTCAGTTTGATCTGATGTACAAGCACACGATGACAGCCAGTAACTCTCAGTAGTTATACGCAATGGTATTTAGTGGCTTTATATGTTTCTTTTCCCTCCGTTTCTTAGTTGTGCAAATACGAATCCATAAAGATAAAAATTAAAAATATTATTCATTGAGAGACGCAACTGACAAGTAAACCTACCTAAAAGTTGCACTCCGATTTCTTTCTAATTTAGCACAAATGTAAAAGTACAAAAAATATTTAAATCATATTTTTTCATTTTGGCCCACTTTGAGTTTCATGGGCTGTTTATAGCTTTTTAATGTTCTCACTCCTATCATCAACAAGTACAACAAAAATGCATAAGAAATAAAATTGAATACAAGATATAGGCGTTTTTGGTTTGCTGATGTTATGATTGTTACGAATATGAAATCAAATGTGTAAAATTATTTGTATAAATAATAAAATGTTTAAATAAAACATGTAAAAAGTTGAAAAAAATTATTTATACAAATAATTTCTCGGTTTGGCCGAGATTCGAACCATTTTTGACTAATTTAGCACAGATTTGAAATATTTCGGTTGAAATCTCGGCGAAAGAAATTTAGAATGATTCGTGTCTCAGCTGTGTCGATTTTATAAATATTTTAATGAAAATTGCCGGATTTCTCTCGGTTTGGCCGAGATTCGAGATATTTTTTACTAATTTAGCGTAGATTTAAAATATTTCGGTTGGAATCCCGGCTAAAGACATTTAAAATGGTTCGTATCTCAGCTATGCCGATTTTGTTAAAATTATTTAACTATATTGTGTTCAATTTTATTTCTTATGTATTTTTATTGTACTTGTTGATGATAGAAATGAGAACATTAAAAAGTTATAAACTGCCCGTGAAATTAAAAAGAAATCGGCGTGTATCTTTTGGGTAAGTTTTCTTGTGAGAAAAAAAGAGATTGTTTACAGAACAGAAATGATTCAGTTTCAAGTGATAACGGCAGCCAGTATGAGGCAAAGATTAAAGATTAAGATTAACAGTAGTGTACCACTGATGTTTCATAGAAGTACCTGTGAAAAAGTATTCTCCGATTACTTACATCATTTATTATAACATTAGAAAGCTACCAGTCGGCGATTTAGGTACGTTGCACCTTCTCCCAACGATTCCGGAATTATCAGTAACATCAATTCGACAGAACTTCTCGCGTTGTCGACAAAATACACAGGGGAGCGGGAGGGAGGGGAGAAGAATCGCCACGGAGCAGTCGTGCTAACATCCGCTTTATCGGGACATAAATCAAGCGTCGTAAAAGCGTCGGCGGGCGGACAATTACACTCATCAATTCCGGATGTTTCTTTTCTCGAGCGCGAGGACGAAAAAACTAGACGAAGCCCCGCTACAAAAACCGCATCCATCCACCAGTTGCATACGCTTACCGCCGGCCGGCCTGGCCGACCGATAACAATAAAGCTCTCGCGTAGAACGGGGAAGAAAGCCGTCCGAGGCGGAAGCTCGGGAAAATTCGGAAAAGCGGGAAAGTGGGTCGCGAAAATTGGACGGGCGTGTCGAAAAATTGCGTTCTCCCGCGAGGGAGAATGCATCGCGTGCAGCGCGACGCCTGCCAGGAATGATTCCCGGGTTGGCGCGCCAAGTGCCCTTTAATCCAACGGGTGTCCGAGACGCGACCGGCAATAAATGCTGAATGTGGGGCGCGCGACGAGAGGGTGATCATCGCGCGGCGTCGCCGTCGCCATCGTCAATCGCGACTGAGCGACCTGCAAATTCTCATGCACGCTTCGATCGTTCCGCAAAATCGCGCGCTACAAAACCACCCGACCGACCGACCGACTAGACAGCCAGCCGAGACCGCAGCTCTTCGCGGCAGACGCAAGAATTTCCGAAAGATTCTATTTGCGCGTGCTCCGCGAAGCGAAGAATTTCGGGGAAAGGGCGAGGCAAGTTATAAAGTGTTCGTGCTTCGATGTAAACGCTTTAGGAATTTCCAGTTTTCCCCTTGCATTCCGCGAAAATTCGCGAGTTCTCCACTCGCCCTTTACTTCCGCCGCATGATCGCACTTTACCCCATCTCTCTCTCTCTCCCTCCCTCCCCCCTTTCTCTCTCTCTCTTTCTCTCTCTCTTTCTCTCTCTTTTATTCATTATTTTTCTACTCATTCATTTCAGAATTTCTATTTATTATTACTAGAACGTGGATATCAATTAATTACAACTAATTAATTTGAATTTTATATTTATGAATAGTTCTTGTCAAGATCTATAGATTAACATCTATAACATTGTGTTTATTCTCATCTTTTCTGACACCCCGATGGTTCGCTGTCTCCTAATCTTCATTGTTATTAATTTCATTTAATATTGTATTATTCGATATTATTATAAGATATTTTTATATTGCATCCTCTTTTTGCGCTCAAGAAGACAGACTCCCAGAACACTAAATAAACAATGCTTTCTCTCTCACTCTTTCTCCCTATCTTTCTTTCTCTCGACGTTTCTGATATTTTTAACAGTTGCTCAACTTACCAAGCTTTGTATCGCCTTAAATAAGTCGCCAGTTAATTTCCTCGACTTCTGAGATTAATTCGGCACGTTGAAAGAGAGAGAAAGAGAGAAAGAGAGAGAGAGAGCTCTCTCGCAAACCAAGAAACAGTCTCGTAAATCTGAACATATCAATTTGTATGGTTGAGTACATAAAGCGACACGCATCGGCAAATTTAGGTCGGCGATATTTCATTATAAATTCGCGCGGCGCATGGAAAATATCCCGCTATACGACAAATGCTTGCAAATGGAACGAGGAGAGAGCAAAAGCGAGAGAGAAAGAGAGAGAGACACGTTGCTGAAGAAAAGCTTCGCTAAGGCGATCATACGTCTTCGTTAAATCTATGCCGCGCTTAGTCAACGCCGCGAGATACGCATCGGGGAGATTTCGTCTTCGAAGGAAACACCGACGTCTGTGTCCTCGTGATAGATCGTCGCAGACACGGCATCCCTTCTACGCGCCATGACGCGCCCCGCGCGCCACCCCCTGCGTCTACATTTACGTGTGTATGGGCAACGCTCTAATCGCGGCCGCGATATTTATTGGCGGGCTGCTATTACGGAAGCGACAATTTGTCATGCCGCTGTATTAATTACACAAGCTCCCTTGTATAGATAAGGGCGCTGCAGGGAGGGCCATAACGTTGTTAGCGTCGTGAGGCAACCTGTTTGAATCGCAACCGTCTCCGGTAAATTTTCAGATTAATTGCCGGTCGAGAGCCGGTCCGGTGTTTGTTTGCAATTAATATCGATATACGTACGTATTCGCGCGCGCGCACGTTATACTCGTTAATTGTTCAAGGCTGATAGGTTTCCATGGATATTGATAAACGAAATCTCCGCGTATTTCAAATAGTTCCATTTATTGCAAACTACGGTACCGCCATTCCTTCGAACGAACGCATTAAAAGTACGGATTTCGTTTAACATATACGCACACAGCGTCCACGTACTATCCACATACTTTGGTGCAACATTATTTTAACAATTTAAGTAATTTCGTAGGTACGTATGCGCGCGCGGAAATTTAATTCTCTTTATGGATTGAAATGTTTAATTATACAATTATGCGTCGTATAATAACAGCCGTGAAAAAGTCGTTTTTCGTGTGAATTTAATATTTTGATTATAATTCTGTACATATCATCGCAACAGAGAGAAGCTCTCTCCATGACTGAACACAGGAATTATTACACGTGTTCTTAAACCACGAGTCTCTCGTCAATATTGTATCGCCAATTGATATAATTACGTACGCGAAGAGCAATGTTGAATTATTACGACAAAATTTTAAAATTTCAAAGTTGCAACTTGTCAGGTAACTGATTGTTGCGACTGATTGCATAAACATGATAGAGGAATCTTCTTTTATGTACTTACTAACCCTTTGTACATTTTTTTTTTCTAGTGAATATAATTTTGTGGAACTTGTTACTCGGGGGAGTTTTTTCGCTCGGGATTACTACGATCAAAGTTTGCGGCGAGTCATGATGGAGGGGAATAAGTAAGATACGAAGGGACTTACTACTTTGTCGCCCAAGTTTCGCACGCGGCACGGCAGATACGCGGTCTGCCCTACGAACGCACTGACGTTCGCTGCTGTCGCCTCGAAAACGGGCAAATCTTCCGGCAGGTCATTATTGGCGTCGTTTATACGTCGCTGCATGCCTTCCTTGGATGTTTCGCGCACGTGCGCTGGAGCTAAAAAGAAACAAGACAGAGACAGTAAAAGAGAAAGAGAGAGAGAGAGAGAGAGAGAGAGAGAGAGAGAGAGAGAGAGAAACCGTGACATACATAGAGTACAAGCATTTTTGCACTGTGCGACCGTACGAGTGGAGGCACGAATAAATGTCTAACTCGATCGCGCGTAACGCGAGACGACGATAAATACGATTTGAAAAGAGCACGCCCGCTCGCGTCGCTTGCGATTTAATCACGTATCTCTGTATCGCGGCGGCGGCATGGGGAGCGTGTTCTATCTTCCGTGAAACTTGTACACGCGAACTCTGGACAGAGGGAATCAGCACTCGCCGCGACGACGACGTCTCCCGCGAGAGCGCAACTACGAGTCTGCCGTTCGCGCGCGCTGGATGTACTACTTACAAGACACCAAGGATCCAAGTGCATTATAACCGGCAGGTAGCACGAACTGGCGCCAGCACGAGCGAACTCAGCTCATTTCTTAAGCATAATACGCTCTTCGACGTTTCGGCGGAATATCTTATAGAACATCGTTATGCACTTTGCTTCATTGTATATGCTCGTTTGTACCTCCATGGAATTTCCCTGCCCTTCCCAGCCCTCCCGGCTAGAACAGCCCTTTGCTCGTCATGCTCTATGAAGAATAATCCGCCGTACTTTAGCAACAATGCATGCCCGCGTCTTCGTAATGGCGAAAGACATTACACGAGTGCGGCAAATGACGTGTCTTTTATCGAGAACGCGCGCGCGCGACAGCTCACAGTTTTATTCGCAAAATTTTCACAGGTGTATAAAAGATAATAAAAAAAAAGGGAGAGAGAGATAACGAAAGCTGATTCATATTTAACCGATAACGCAATTTGATTGGCTCACCTGTAGAATCGATCGACTTTTTACAATAAAAGAGATTGTTTCGGTATTTGCAAAACTTGTTTTGATAAATTGGATTAGAGGCTTATGCACTTTTATTACGGCCACTCGTGTTCGCGCTCATACGTTTTAATTCTTTTGACGTGCAACTGCATTTCAGGCATGGTCGTGGAAAATGGAACTGGATACATCTGGAAAACCGAAAAAGGAAGAGATATCTTTCGTTCCTTCTGCGAGAAGCTATTTGTTCTCTTCCGTTTCATCTTTGCGCGCATTGACCTTTTATAGGGGCAAACTATTTTTAGAGGTGATAATATCTATTACAAGTTTATGTAACATATCTAGATACATCACAAATGTGTGAAATATAAGACACCTTACAATACTTTTTATGACTATTGCTTGGCAAAAAATTCGGGACTGTTTCATGAGAATGAATTTCATGAGAATCGGGGGTAAACCCGGATAAACGCTCGACCTTGTGGTAGGGCGCGAGTTGATATTTTGTGTACGATACGTATTAACCCCGAAATTAAAACTTTCTGAACCAGTCACAGTGCAATTTGCGGAGCGATCGTGCGCAAGTTACGGAGTAAGGGTTGCGTTCTCTCCTTAAGTCTGATTCACATATTCGCATGAATTTGCTTCACGTATGCGAATAGCGGTGGGATAAATTCGATTCGCATACATTCCCCTCGCTCGCAGCGCATCAAATTTATTTCAAATATGCGTGTCACGTAACCCAGTGACACGTGCTATAGAGGTCGCGCGAAAGCCAAACTTTCAACCGATTTCGGTCTCGTGAAATTATGAAGTGTACATTATTCGTAAATTGATGTAACCGCGAATGTCATTTCACAATAATCACGGGGTAGTGGGATTTTAGTGCAATTTCATGTAGTATCTGCCAATACACCAAGTGTTCATTTTAAATGTCCTTTATTCCAACTGCATGAATTCCCCAACATCTTCCGTAATCTTGCGGAATTTTTATCCATTGCAGCCGAATCTTTTCACCTGGATAAAGTAAAGTAACCAAATATCCTCGATCGGATATCCAATTTCTAAAAATCGAACGTCTCTTTCTTGGCTTATATGTAATTCTATCATCTCTCGGGAAAAATATTCCCATTGTATTCGTTGCTGCAGTTGCAAACCCCCGATTTTCATAAAATTTATTCTCATGAAACAGTCCCGAATTTTTTGCCAAGCAATAGTCATAAAAAGTATCGTAAGGTGTCTTATATTTCACGCATTTGTCATGTATCTAAGTATTATGTAAACTTGCAATAGATATTACCACCTCTAAAAAAAATGTGCCTCTATAAAAGGTCAATGCCTGTCGTGGCTTTTCGATCTGTCCCTTATCTGAACACGTGTTACGTAAACTCTTGAAGCTTCTCCTATGGAACATCATTCAAATGGCTGCCGGTCTATAGTCGGATCGTTCTCTCGTTAGTATAGCTTCGGAACGGTTAGATACTCTCCATCATCATCAATCATCATCAGACGAACGAACGACGACTCATTGGCGGCTGACAGGGATTGATCCGAAGGGAAAGTTCGTAATAGAAGCCGGCTGGCTGGCTGACTGACTGCGGGGTCGCTAATACACAGAAGAAAACCGTGCGATGTAAACGGTGGGTTCCCGCTCTGTCCCCCTCTCTGGAATTAATTTCAACAATTTTTGCCCTTTCCCTTCTCATTTATTTCCATCTGTCGATTATTATAGCTCGACGATACCGCGGCCGTGCCATTCAACGCGATGTCCCCGCTCGCGAGTAAAAAAAAATACGCGCGACCCAAAAAGACAAACGCCTGCCAATCATCGCGTATCGCCCTCTTTTTGACCCTCGAGCGCGTGCAATCTGATAAATTTAATTGGATGAACCTGCGTGCGCCACGAGGGTAAATCCATGGTGCGCGTGGAGAGGATTGCGAGGGGCTCGAAACGCGGGCGGCTATCGAATTATCAAACGAATCTGCCCAGAACAACCCGCTGACATCGTAACTCGCCGAGCAGACCGTTTCGCATAAACAATACCCTACCCAAAAGCCAGCGGTATCCTCTTTCAATCTCACCGCATATGATGGCTCGACGGCCGTTCTCGCATGCGATCTTCACCCACCCTCAGTGAGGGTATTCGAGGCTCCCGCCCGAAAGCTGATCGCTTCGAATATCGTGATACAATGCGCGCGCGCGCGCGCGCATACGTGTGTGCGTGCACGCGTGACAAATAAGCGCGATAATAGTTTACGGAGAAAAACGAAAAAGGGGAGAGATCGTGACTGCATCGCGGAAAATGAGTCGCCCAAAGCTCTCGCGCGTCTATCGCGATCGTCCGCTTAACGATCGCGCGACGACGCGACGACACATCGATACAGCCGCAATTCGGGAGATAATATTGACGTAATTTATATGAACATCTTCGTTTGGTTTGCTCGAAAGTCAAGAGTAAATATTAGTCTGGTTCCATCACTACCTCTCTCTACGTCCCTCTTCTGGCGCGCAGATAACGCCCGTATACATATATTCACTCCGCTAGCGTTATACAAATGACCAACACTCCAGCACTTTACGCCCTGGTAACACGGGTAAGCCCTGCCACCGTTCCTGATAACTCCAGATTAATTGACAAAAAGCCACCGTCGCAAATAAGGATGATGTACATTAAATCTCCCCGCCTCGCTATTATCGCCGCACCATTTCCGGCGGCCCTACCAGCGCGCATAAATAAGAGCAAAAGATTAAATTAACTTTCAAATGCGAAAAAAGCGTACTTTTCGCGAACGCAACATCGCGCTCCGCAAACGAATCGATTCCAGCCAGACTCAAACAGACTTTTATGATTATCACGACACGAGACAATCGATAATGGAAACTCTACAATTCTTTTAACTACATTTATAAGGCAGATATATAATATTGAGTTAATTATCATATATTAATGCAATTTTAAAATTTTTTTACGTAAATTTTTTGTTATATTGTTGCAACAATAAATTCGTCAAGATTTATATTCGGATTTTCATGTTATATTTTGTATGACATATGGAGCAAATTTTGACCGTTCTTCTCATATTTTTATTTCGTCATCCTCTATGTGATAAATATTAAAGATAAATATGAGCCACTCGTAAAGGACACAACTTTTATAAATCGATTAGTACAATTGTCGTCAAATTTACTAGTCGAAGTAAAAGTTGCATTCCTTCATATGGCACTCATACTTATCACACATACGAAATGATGAAATGGAAATACGAAAAATATGTTTACAAAACAATACGTTACGTATAATATATTTAGATAGACTTATATAGTCACCACGACAATTCTTTTAATTACTTTTTTAATTCTTTTAATTCTTTTAATTGAGGAAGGGAATATACATCGAATTAATTTAATTAAACTAACATTACACAATAATGAAAATTTGTTGTAACATTGGTGCAGCAGCAAATCCATTAAAAGTTACACTTGGAATTTTATATCATATTTTATGACAAAAATAAATTCGAGTAAATTTTCTTTTCATATTTTCGTTTGACTACTTTAAGTGATAAATAACTCACACAAGGGACGTAACCTTTATAAATCGACCGGTAAAAGCTGCCAAATTTACATGCACCTGTCTATCTGGGTAATATGCAAATCCGAGTGTAACTTTTAGTAAATTGGTTGCTGTATCAAAGTAGCAAAAATTTACATTATAGTATCAATTTCATGATTAATTTAATACAGTGCCGCATAAATGTATGTATTTAAAAAAATGTAAAACTTTCATCATCGATCGACTCACGTCGTGATAACCATGAAAGTCTATCTCCGAGTGGTCGATTCAAAATTTATAATAATAAAATTACAATAAAGAAATATTAAAGATTTGACGGAAATAAAAATAAATCCATGACACAAATCGAACACGTTGGAAGACATAACGCTACTTGATCCACACATAACACAAGATTAGCGAAATAAATTAAAAATGAAAGACTATCTCGCAGCTTAGGTCGCCTCGCGCTATACGTAAATATACTGTTTTCTCACGTCTGACTATATAATCGCTGTTTCCACTGGTCGCACGCCGTCGCAGGCGCCACCTCTGCAGCCGCCCTTGCAACTCTCA